TCAGTAATGAAGAACAATTAAGGATATTTTCATTAGTTAATATATGCATGACTACTTACTTATTGGAACAAGGAACAACCAGGGGTAATTTCATCATTTGGTTGGACACTCTTATTAGTCAAATGAATGAGACGCCCATGGTTGGTCTTCCCTCATCCTGGCCTTGTCCAACATTCCCCAAGTCAACCTTAGCATTGTTGCCATCAAGGACATCCGTTTTTCCATCTAATGGTCCCTCATGCACGACACATACTCGCCATACAAGCTCCTATCTCACAAATAGGAGATGCTTATACGATCACCACCATCCAACGTGATTTCTTGTGTTGTAGGGAGAAACATCCCCACCACGTCAGCTACCATTCGCAGGGTTCTATCCTTTCCCTGTACATAGAGCTTATGGGGAGCTTGAGCTTCTCTCACGATGCTTCAGACCTAACGTCAAATTATTTTGAATGGTTCCTAATCTAATTTTCATCTTCAAATCCATCATCAAACCAAGTTGTTGCAATTGCTTGCAGCTAGATTTTTGGATTTGGCCATAGGATGCTTTGATTAATTGATACAAAAAAAATTATTTCAAAACATTGCTAATCAGCACCAATTAACAAGGTACTCATGTTTAGTAACATAAGGTACACCTAATTTTCTCTTAAGAAACACAAGACATTTCACTAGTAAGCTTCAATTTTTTAAACATTATGCTTTATAAAGCATGGAAAAAAAATTGAAAGGTAAGAATGCATATCTACCAAACTAACAAAGACAATGGATTCCACATGGATCCGTAATTATTGCTAAGCAGGTTATATCCAACATATACAAAACAAGAAAACTATGGTTTCTTCCCTAGTTCTCACAATCTAGCTTGTTAATCTAAAGAGTTAGAGCTAATCAAGGAACAAACAATAAAAAATGATCATCAATCACATAACAAAGAGCCCAACAATATTAACAACAATTCAATCTCATCATATTCAATCAAAATTATGTCTCTTTTGAGAACCAACATATACAAACCAATTTTTGGTTATCATAAAGATTTTTTGATGGTTTCCTACTTTTTTTTTAGAGCTTTTAGAAAAAAAATTGAATTTTTTTGGAACCCGAAACCCACCCCCTTTGTTTTGGGTAATGACCATTAAGATCAAAACCCTACGAGCGGGCCCAAATAGCCAATGGGCCCCAGAATGTCCTAGGTGGCTGCTGATATCAGCCACATGTCATCCTAATGGCTGACATTTGGGTAACATCAGCCCAGTTGTCACCTCCTTCTAATGAAGAGAAATGGTATATAATCCCTTTGTGATTTGTTTATAATGAGTTGGAAACAAGGTTTTTCTCCCTTTATTCATTGATTGAAGTATTGTCTCTCCTCTCCCTTTTAACATTTTTTGCTACTTTTATCTCATATAAGTGACCGCGACGAGCTCATATTGGTGCTCAACATATGTTTTATATTTATTACTCCTTGAGAGATTTAGTCTAAAATTTTGGAATTTCTTTCAAATTTACTAGATGAATATTTCCAAAAATATTGTCTAAATTTTAAATACTACGAGTCTTTCAAATTTACTAGATGAATATTTCCAAAAATATTGTCTAAATTTTAAATACTACGAGTCAGTGTTTCAGAAACTGGCCTAGCCGAATGAACTAACCTTCCTGACTAGTTGACAAATTCCTGATTTGTATTGGTGGATCGGGTTGATTCCCTGATATGACGATTAGTTCAAGACAAATAAAAATAAAAATGAAATACAAAAAAAAATTAAAAAAACATAATGGGTCAAGTTCCTTTCAACCGGAAAGAATGATGCAACCATGCCCCAACTGCAACCAATATAGTTTATGGTTAGGCAAAGAAGGGTTGTAGGACATGGGGTTGTGGTTAGGCAAAGAAGGGTGGTAGGATATGGGGGCAAGAGGAGGCAATATTGTAATTAGGGAAAACAATTTTTTTTTTTTTAACTTCATTTATTATTTCTGATTTTGTTGGGGGCAAGGTTAGTTATTTGTTTTAAAGTTAATAATAGATGGTTAAGAATAAATAGAATGGATGGGTAGAATTTCGTATAAGCTTTCTAGAGGGTTTTGGGTTATTTAAAAATACTTATTGTTGAAGGATTTATGCGATATCAATTATTTTTCTGGAGAACTTTGATTTAATAAAAATTGGGAGGTGGATTCTTCTTTGTTTTTGTAATTTTTCTTTTTTTTCTACTTTTCTTTTCCCCTTTAAGGCCCGCCATCTAGTAGAGTTTCTGCAAATATCTGCAAATTAAGGTACTGATCTATGAAGAGTCATCCCAAATTTGCATCACAAGCCATTCAAATCTAAATAAAGAAGGCTCAAATTCTATATTGTAATTGTCCAACGTGAGGAAGGAATATGATCCATCGCGGATTTGGAAGAACAATGGGAAGACAAATTCGACTTGGATATTAAACAGATGACCCCCCTTTTATAGACAATTCATAGGTGAGAAATAAACACTTGATTTGATCTCAACCACTCTTTGAGGTTAAAGATCTAGCTTAATTAATGACTATTGATGACTATCACATGAATGATGATTAAAATATACACCATTATCACCATACCTACAAACCACATTAGCTTAATCTCAAATATTTCACAAGTGCCCCTTAACCATAAAATTCAAATATTAATCCATCTCCACCATTGATTCTATTTACCATCAAATCTCCGCCAACCCATAGGGCGGTTGGACCATGTAAAATCGGTCCCATATGATGTAGATTGCAAATAAATGAAATTGACGTCCGAAGATTAAAGTGTCACCCATAGTTTCAAACTTTGAATATCCAAATTGGTGGGGGTCGACGATCCACGCCATAGACCTGTATCGGAATGTTGGATCTTTGACCAGGATTCGTCTGAATCGGCAATCAAGAAAAAAAACTTATAAAAAAAAGAAGAAGAAATAAATAGGGATTTATAGGAGGGGAATTTAGGGAGTTCTAAGAGAATATTATTTTAGCTTAATACATGAAAAAGATATTAGTGAGGGTTTTAGGGGGGGAATTGGGTTGGTATTGATATCTTTCTAAATGCAACCGATTTCTTGTCCTGATAGGTGATTCCCAATTTAAATCGCCCGATTTTGAAACGTTGGATATACCAATTAAATATGATATTTCATCCTAAACGTCTCTTCTAGCAAAGGGTACATGAGGCCCTAGACAACATCCAGTTGAAGCTCTATAACATCCTTCAGAATGGATGGATATAAGACTTTGTACCGGTGAAAAATTGTATCTTCGAAGACATTTAGATCCCATATCACCCATAATCCTCCTGTTGCACCCTGCAGGAACTCCAAAAATACTTATTTGCCATCTACCCCACTGGTAGGGGTGTCAATCCATATGGGTCGACACACCACATCGATGGGTTGACCCAACCAGGTCAGGTCCAGGTTCGACTCCATCATGTATGTTGTTGGGTCAGGTTGGATCAGGGTCGGGGTTGACCCTTTTGGAATATAAATATAAGTTTGACATATGTATTGATAAATTTATATAATAAAAATTGTATATTTTGTAATCTAGACCAAACTCAAATTACATGCGTGTGTGCGTGCGTCCACCTATTTTCGAGTCTGATTCGGTTTGGTCGACCTGAACCCAGACCTAACTCAAATCCCATTTGGGTCTAGGGTTTAAGTTTCGGACCTGACCCACTGTATCGAAAACTTGGACATGGTCCTGGACTTCGATCAATTTGACCCGATTGCCACCCCTACCCCAAAGTTTTATTCATGCCAATGACATTTTTATATAGATTATGGAATACTATATAGAGAGTTTACTTTTGCTTATGGATATAGAGAGTCAACTTTTGCTTATGGAGTAATATATACAGAGTCAACTCAATAATATACACAGAGTCAACTTTTGATTATGCAATAATATATTTGGAGTTCACTTTTATAAAAAAAAAAAACCCAAAAAACAAAAAAAACTTAGCGGGGAACAGCTAATATTGGCACCTTCGAAAAAATAGGTAATTGCAAGTTTTAACACAAATAAGAACCAATAGATAGGGGTGCAGTCTGCATACGGATGCATCCGTAGGTGTAGAGGTAAGGTGCACCTTTAAATTTTATCATGGTTTATAATTTTGATGTAAAATATTCTTAGGATTATCTGAAAATCTATTTTCATATCTAATAATAAAATTTTAAATTTTAAAAATGGTTAAAATCAAGTAGATCTATAAACATATGAAAATCTTGAAAATAGACGGTGTAGATAATATGTTGTAAAATGCACTATTTTTAAGACTTAAAATCTTTTTATTTTTTATAGTCATGTAAAGGGTTTTTCAGCATTAAAACTACCTTTTTCGATGGATTTTTGAAGGGCATCCGTAATTCTATATTATAAGGTAGCATCTTTATATAAACTGTTTCCATAAATAGGTAGTCCAATTTGATCCCCAACTCCAAAACTCGGCCGAATTAGACCTAATTGTAATAAAAAGATATTTTTTACTATAAGATTTGTAATTTAGAGCGATCCGTGCTTGCTAAACTTTGTTTAAACATTCTGAGCAGTATGGCTTGCCTAACTTCCTAGAGAAAGAGAGAGAATCCATGGCAGTTTTTCTGAACTTCTGTTGTCAAGACACATGAAAGAGTTTCACAGCCCATCTCAACAAAGATCTCGAGGATTCCGGCATCTCCACCTTCTTCTCCTCACCCACTCAACGACAAGGACAAGAAGAGGAAGACATATAGAAAGCTATTAGAGAATGCGAGGCTTTTATGCCCTTTTTTTCAGCCAACTACGCTTCCTCTGTATCCTGCCTTTCGTATTTGATCAGTTTGCAAACAACGAAGAGGAAGTTGATTTTGCCTCTCTGTGTTTTATGATGTGGAGCCTTGGCATGTCCGATGGCAAAAGGGGCCTTTCGAGGATTACAGATGTAAGAACGGGTATGATGGAGAGATAGTGCACAGGTCCAGAAATGCTCTGAAACAAATCGCTCATGTTTTTTATTGAGATATGGAGAATAACAGGTATAACTACCCAATCCTTTTGGATTTCTTCTTTCTTTTTTTTTAAAAAAAATCTCTCTCTCTCTCTCGATGCTAATTGTTTCTCTCTCTCTCGATCGATACGAATTGTTTCGATAGACATCTCTCTCTTTCTCTCTGCGCACACACGCTTAGGTGTGCATTCACTTGTCCTTTGGGTGCGTCTAGAATCTTATATGCTCCAAATTCAACCATCGAAAGGACAAAAAAAAAACAAAAATGTTTTCATAAAGTTGCAACTTTATTCTAGAGTGATATACATGCGGACTCTAAATTTTTTTCAAAAATACGAACCGCTCTGTTTATAGGTAGAAAGCACAAAAGAAGGTTGGAAAACTGTCTAAATTCATCAACCATCTCGACTTCAAAATGTCTAGATATTTAAAAATAATAATAATAATAATAATAATAATCTTGAAATCCTAAAAGTAATACATATCATAATAAATTACGAGATTGTACATAATGCAACTATTTACCTTTGATACAAGGAGGTCAAATTTACTTACAACCATATAATGTGAAATATAATAGCTTGGGTGTGTCATAAAGTTTGAAAAAAAATTCTTTTAAAGAGCTTGGTCAATAGAATAAATGTAGTCATCTAATTTTATATCCAATGGCTAAGATTTATTGTGGCCACCTTGTACTAAAGATAAATGGTTTCATTGTATACTTTTCCATAAGTTAACAAGACCGCCTATTTCCAAAATTTGCAATAGTTTATAATGATAGATCTAGTAGATCTTCACCATTTTTAAAATTTTAAATTTTATAAGGGAAAGTATGTGATGAAACCGTTTTTTTTTGGTACAAGGTGGTTACAATTAGTCTTGACCATTAGATGTGAAATTGGGTAGTTGCATTTATTTCATTAACCAAGCTAAAATTCAAAAGAAATTTTTTCAAACTTTGTGATACACCCCATCTATCAAATTTCACATCCAATAGTTATAAGTAATTATGACTTTCCTATTTCAAAACTAAATGGTGTCATTGTAGACAATCACATTTTATAATTGGAGTTAACCATGTATACAACCAAAATTTAGTGGTGCACCTTACTTGAAATAAGGTGGACACGTTATACAAACCTCACCAAAATAAAAAATAAAAATAAATAAAAATACAAATAATAGTGCTATCACTACAACTAAATTTACAGCTACACCAAGATGCAAAAAGGCGTTCTAATTGTGGTCCATCACATTGCCCAGTGATTATCTTGATGTTCTTGGAAGAATGAAAAACATAAAATACATAATAACTAATAGCTCTCTCTCTCTCTCTCTCTCTCTCTCTCTCTCTAACTCCACGGAAAATAAGTATAATGTGTAGAACCACTTGCATTGCCATTTCCACTTCCTCTAATGAGGTCTTTGTAACTGTCTTTTCGTCCAGCTATGCTTCCTCTTCCTTCTGCCTTGACCAGCTTTCTTATTTTCTGAGTTTGCCACCAACAAGGAGGAGGAGGAGATCCATTTTTCCTGCATCTTGTGACTTGGAGCCTTCGCATTTCCGCTGGCAAAAGGGGCCCTTAATGGGAGCTTTTAAGGATGAGAAAAAGAAGAATGGGTTTGATGAGGAGACAGTGCACAAGTGGAGAAATGCTTTGAGAGAAGTTACTGTACTTTTTGGTTGGGATATGAAGAACTACAGGTATAATCAATTATCTTGGATTTTTTGAAAAATAAACAAAAACAAAATGTCTCTCTCTCCAGCCTATGTTGGAGATTGGTTGGGTGAAATGGGACAGAAAATGGTATAATTTGTAAAATGGGATCTCGGACTGCTTTCGAGCACGCAGGAAAACTATCTCGAGACGATATTTGCTACCAGTATTTGATGTGCATAAGAAAGACAATTCGTTATCGGGATACAAGATAACAAATAGGTTTTTTTCAATGTTTCTAAGCTCTATGCACTTAAGCTTGAAACCCACATAATAGACACCAGAGTCTTGATAGTTTAGAGAGCAAAAGAGATAAAATCGAGTAAAGAGAGAGAGTTAGCCTACCGGTTTACTTGTTGGAATTGTAAAGAATGGTCTCTTGAGAGAGGCTAAAAAATTGCTCTAAGTATGTAAAAATGTATGGGTAGGAGGGCTCTTGTTATAGAACACCAAGAGGCTGCCCTTTTAGTGTTGGGGTAGTTACATGCATCACCCGACAACTACAAGTTACATTGGTTACATGTACCACCGAACAATTACAAGTAACATGTGGTTACATGCACCCCAACAGCTACAAGTTACGTGAGTTACATGCCCTTGATGGTTGATGTTACAAGCCTTTATCCAATCAACAGTTAGATGACCGTTGGATGTCCTACAAGCATCAACGGCTAGATGACCATTGGATCCCCTTACGAGCCGGGCTCACAAAAAGATAACGAGCCATGAGCCCAACCCACACACGTGCTCAAGTGAAGTGTGCCTCATGCGAGCATACAAACTGCAAGCCCGACCCGCGCATGTGCTTGCGCGAGGGATGCCTCATGCGAGCATGTGAAGTGTAAAGTGTGCCATCAAGCACCCTTGCGCCCACGCCCTCACACGCGCATGTGCACGTCACACGCTCTGCGTGCTCCACAGATGCACCTTCTCTCTCTTTTGTACTTAGAGTACATTGTATGAGAATGCGTACTCTTAAATACAACACTAGAAAATCTCTCATTTTCAATGTGAGACTCAAACCCACATCTTTCTCTCTCTACAATGCATTTTAGGAAAGAACAATAAATCTAAAGTGGTTGCTTTCAAATACTCTTACGTATTTTTCAAACCACTCCATTGAAAAAGTATAACGTGTAGACCCACTTGTAATACCATTTCACATCCTGTAAAAATAGTTAAGATTTATTTGGTTTTTACCTTCTACTATTCCATCGAAGGAATTGTTGGGATTAAGCCATTTTAATTTTTATTATTCTTATAGATCTATGAAATGGGGTCTAATATACTCCTTGGATATCATGAGCATAAAATACTTTTTTTATTAAATATATTCATCTTAGTAACTAGGCCATTTTGTGGACCATGCATCACTTGTATTTGCACATCAACTTCTAAAAATAAGCTTTTCTTTTTATTATTTTCGTATTGCCTAATGAGGAAGGATATTTTGTAGGATTGAAGCAAATTTGGTAGACGAACTTGTTAAGCATGTTTCTGCAAAGTTGGAGTGCAAAACACCATTGCATGTCGCTTCTCACCCTATTGGGCTTGATTCTCGGATTGCTGATGTGATGAGACTCTTAGATGTTGATACAAGTGATGTTCGGCTGATTGGGACCCTTGGAATGGGTGGTATTGGTAAGACCACTCTTGCAAAGGCAGTATTTAACAAAATACGTTCTAGCTTCCAAGGCAGTTGTTTCCTCTTAGATGTTAGAGAATCGTCTAAAACAAATGATGGAGTTGTTGACTTGCAGAAACAACTTCTCAAGGAACTGTTTAATGAAGGAGATCCAAATATATATAATGCTGATGGAGGTATCAATGTTATTAAGAAGAAGATTGGGCGTAAGAAAGTTCTTGTTGTAATTGATGACGTTGATAGCGAGAAGCAGCTCTAAAAATTGGCTATTAACTGTGATTGGTATCATCAATGGAGTAGGATCGTTATCACTACAAGGGATGAGCATGTTTTGAATGTGAAAAATAGAGTGGATAAGGGTCATATCTACAAGCTCAATGAATTGGATGGGAGAGAATCTCTTCAACTCTTCAGTTGGTGTGCATTTGGGAGGGATGAACCCTTGATAGAATATGCCTAGCTCTCTGAGGATGTGCTATCCACTGCTAGTGGGCTTCCACTGGCTCTTGAAGTGTTGGGGAGTTACTTTTCGGATAAGACACTTGAAGAGTGGAAAGTTGCAATAAAATTTTTGAAAACAATATCTGAAAAGGAGGTCATGCCAAAGTTGAAAATAAGTTTTGATGATTTGAATGAAGAAACAAAACAAATATTTCTTGACATTGCATACTTCCTTCATTGGAGAAGACAAAGATTATACAATCGATATATGGAAAGGTTGTGGCTTTCCTTGCTTTAAATTCCATAAAGAAACTATTGCAAAGGTCACAAACTACGCCTTTCAGGTCACTCGAAGTATGTGGATGCACGACCAACTTCGTGATATGGGGAGACAAATTGTTGAACTGGAAACCTTGGTGATTCTGGAAGGCGTAGTAGGTTGTGGCTTGAAGAAGATGTCATTGATGTGTTGAAGAATCACTAGGTGAGATTCCTTACTTTTCTCTTGCTGGAGAAACCAGGTATAATAAATGAAGACGACACAATTAGGATACATTTATTTTTTAGCATCTTATTACTTGGCTGACATTTACTTTTACTGCCAAATAGGGAACTCGAAATGTTCGAGGCTTAGTCCTTCAGGGGAAAAATCAGGGCCATAGTTGGGAAACTGAAACATTTAAATCAATGATCAATATGAAGCTATTCAGTATTAATCATGCATCTCTTAATGGGAGCTTCAAATATATTTCATCAGAACTAGTGCGGTTAAAATGGCACGGATATGCTTTACAATACCTCCCAAATGATTTTGGGAATGAAAAGCTTGCTGTCCTTGACTTGAGAGACAGTAATGCCATCCTTGACTTGTCAAACAACAACATCAAACAGGTGTGGAGCTTAACCTATATTTAAGATCGTGTTGTGTCAACGGTTCCTTTTATTTTCTTAAAACCTAACTTTATCCTCCCTACCAACCATATTTTTTGGACAGCTTTTCCCGAAGTTGAAGAGTATTCATCTCGCCTAGTGCAAGAACTTGGAGAGAATTCCCGACTGTTCTCTATACCCAAACTCAGAGAAGTTGATGCTCGCATTTTGCAACTTGGTGGAGGTTCCTAAATCTATAGACCTTCTACATAATTTATTTTATTTGGATCTTAAGAGATGCTCCAACCTCAAGGCACTACCAGTTTCCCTAGGTTCACTAGCAAACCTGAAGGAGTTGGATGTCTTGGTGCACGGAACTCAGTAGATTCCCTGCATCAATGGGAAGGATGATATCATTGTGTTATCTAAAAATGGATGGAGTTGCTATAGTTACATTACCTGATGATTTTGGGCATCTTTCTAATCTAGGAGAGTTGACCATGGATTCATGCAAACAATTGAAAGAGCTCCAAGAAAGCTTTGGAAGTCTCACAAATTTAAGGACACTCGATATAAGATTCAATACCCGTTTGACCAGGCTTCCATCTACTTTCTCAGGTCTTTGCTCCTTGGAGAAATTGAAAGCAGAATTTTGTAATCTGCAAGGGATAATTCCTGATGACTTTGAAAAATTGTCATCATTGAAAACGTTGAGGCTTAGCATGAACAATTTACAAGGTCTACCTAGTAGCATGAGGGGCCTTACTAATCTAGAAAAGCTATCTATGAAATGTTGTGAGCATCTGGTAGCTATCCCTGAGCTCCCCACAAGTTTGAAAGTTCTGCATGCTTTCGGATGCAAAAGTTTGCAAACCATTCCCAAGCTATCTCACCTTTCTAAACTAGAAACTCTGGATATAAATATTTGTGAGCAACTAGTGGCTGTCCCGGAGCTCCCCGCTGGTTTGAAATATCTGAGAGTTTCTAGATGCAAAAGCGTGCAAACAAAACCCAAGCTATCTCACCTTTCTAAACTAGAAATATTGAATGTTTCAGACTGTGGGAAGCTATTAGCTATTGAGGATTTTTCCACCCCTTTGAAAACTTTAAATGCTTCCAAGTGCATATTTTTGCAGAATATACCCAACCTCTCTCACCTTTCTCAACTTGAAAATTTGGATTTAACAAACTGTAAGGGCCTGAGATACAGGGTATCAGTGGGTTGAAATTTTTGAGAAACTTGCGCTTGAGTGGGTGCAGCCCTAACGTTGGAAGGGTCAAAGCCTGGCTAAGGTAAGTTGCTTGCTTGCAAGAAAACTCTCCTATTGTTTGGTTATTGAGTTACCTTTATTATTCTAACTGCTAAATTATTTATTTTTTGTTTTGATATATATCATTTACAAATGTGCAGGAAGCATTTGCAACTCGAAAGCACTTAACTTCTCCAAGAAGCAAGGTTCCAGATTGGTTCATGTATCAGAGTCTGTCGTGTACATTGCCGAGACCTTCAAAAATTAGAGAAGTGCTAGTGTGCATTGCTATTTCTCCTGATAACATTACTGATAATGAATGCTTTTTTAAGTTTGTACTCAAGAGGGGAAATGGGAGAGTAATTAAAGAGTCATTGACTGAATTTGAAATCAGAAAACATACATTGGCCCACCTTTGATGGTATTGCAGATCTCTCTCTCTCTCTCTCTCTCTGTATATGTGTGCGCGTCTGGGGCAAGTATTACTGATCTTTATGATTAATTTGCCACGTGTAGGAGGATGTGAGCTATCACTTCTCTGATTCTTTTGGTTCTTTGTTTATTTGGATGGTTTAATGTGATCGAGAAATTGAGTAATTACAGTCAAAGCAAAGCTGAAAGGGTCCATCCTCTTTCAGTGATATGTGGTCTCTATGAGACCAGAACTCGGCATGTTACTGGTTATTACCCAATTTTGCTATCCTGTCATGCTCATTATAACTAAATTTTGGTGCAAGAAGTTTCAGAAACAAAGAAGCAAACCCTTCTTTGAGTACCTAATACACCCATACAGTAAGAGGGAATGGAAACACTCTAGAGAGAGAGAAAGAGAGAATAGTTTGCTCTATATTGAGAGAGATTTCATCATTTTGCTTTATGTTGGCTGTTTTCCTCTTTTATACCCAAATAGTACCTAATTCTAGTCTTCCTCTCATAGCCTGGATATATTTATCAGGCGTCCTTTTTGTCATTGATGCAGGTGGTTTCCTCCTCTTGATCGACACTTTGCATTACTTCATCATTTTCTTTCTCAATAATATGATCTCTTCCCGCTCATGGTTAGTCCAAGAATTAAAGATCTGATTGAGATGGGCTTCTTGGTCTCTTCTAGAATTGATGGTGACATTAGTTGCGGAGGTCAATTTAATTGTTTGGATTGTGGTATGAATGATGGGTATCTAGAGTTATTGAGGGAATAGTGGTTTCGCCTCGAACATGTAATGTGATGGCAGCATACAAATAACTGATGTCCTCGGTAAGGTGGTATTCTGTGTGGAGTAGGCAAAGCAACCCCAAGGAAAAGGATATCGATTCAAAAAAGCCTGTGGTATGGCCATGATAGTTGCCAGCATGGAAATAGATAGTTTTGTGAGGGAGTTCCAAGGCCCATTTCTTGCCGGTGTCAAATTTAAACTTTCACGATGGTACCAGGGTAAAGGCCTATGTGAATTCGATCCAGCACGCCACAGCAGGGATTGCGTTTCACGCATCAGTATTTGGAGCCATGGCCCCAGTTGTTGCTTGCTTCTCTTCAAGAAGGCCAAGCGCAGAGAGCCCATGCAATCTAAAACCCGATATCATTGGCTCCAGAGTGAGCATTTTAGCCGGCTGGCCGTCCAACATAAGCCTGCAGGTGCATCGACGGACGCCCATAGAGATCTCAACATATTGTATGGCACGTCAATATCTACCCCCCATCTGAGTGGAATTGCCAAACTACTCAAGGCTGCTCACCCAGACTAGTCCCCTGCAGCCATAAAGTCGGCCATGATAACCACAGCCAACATTCTAGACAACACAGGGAGGCCTATAACAGACAATACCCTTGAGCAGGCGAGAGTGTCTTCGCTATGGGCATGGGCCATGTGAACCTGAACAAGGCAGCAGACCCCAGCCTAGTTTACGAGATTGAGGCCGATGATTATATATGCTATTCATGCAGTTTAGGGTACAGCCAGACAGAGATACTGGCCATCACGAGGAGGTTTGTCAAATGCTCAAAGAGAACAAGCATCTCAGAGGTTGGCTAAACTATCCATCGTTTTCTCGCCTTCCCGGCCTTCTTCCTTTAGTTTTGAAAGAACAGTGACCAATGTTGGTGATGCAAATTCTTCTTACCAAGCGGAGGTGGTTGCGCCACCAGGTGAGAGAGCGAGAGTGAAGCCCACCAAGCTTTCCTTTGCCAAGCTAAAGGAGAAGAAGACTTATCGTGCAACCTTTAGCAGTAACGGGAAAAGACCATCATCATTCAGCGCGCAAGATAATATGATTTGGCATTCTGGCTCCAAGTACCATGTCAGGAGCCCCATCACCGTCCACTCCAAATAAGTGTGAGATATATGCAATCCTACAGCTAAGCCAACGCTTGTTTAGATTGTTCTTATTTACTCACATATTTTTACTTGTTTCGCCTGATATTTAAGAATGTGCATTCCCCCTTTCTCTTCTCTGTAAGAACCTTGAAATCTTAGTTGAGGCTTTTTTAATCACCCTGTAAGAGAGACGACCACTTGTTGGTATGTAAGGAGAGACTACCTCTTAGTTTCTACGAATTCTCCATGTCTCCAGTAGTCCCTCAACTTCCATAGACTCAGTTATTGGTGACCTTTAATTTCTCTTAATCCAGTCCCCTAGAAAAGGGGACTCATCATCTCAATTGATCTCTATCTTTAATGAAATCTAGTTCATCTAAGAAAAAAGAAAAAGATTTGGAGAAAAGAAAAAGAAAAAGATTTACTGCCCATGCTCTCCCAACAAAAAGGGGAAAAAAATATTCATATCTCCGCGTGCATGGTTCATGCTGTCCCTTTGGGCAAGGCACTCAAATAGATAGAACAGAAAAAAGTCAAACACCCCAAATTCTCATCAGATTTTGCCAGAAATTTGAATCACATGAAAACATAGACAGTAATCTTCTTTATGCATTAGCTACGAAATTCTTCACAAATGTGTTCCCAACAAGAAAATTCAAAAATATCATGTCAAATAAACTGCATGGACAAATCTCTTTGCCCCTTATAGCAACAAACACGCCACTGCCAAGGGTGCTTCCGCATTTCTAAATTGCAGCTTCAACTTCATCAGAAGCCACAGCCACCCCATTCGGCTCATCATCCGCTCGAAGCTGAGATGACACATTGTCTATGGCAGAGTTTAGCTGTGCGATCTTTTCTGTTAATACTTTCCGCGTTTTCTGCAATTCATGATGACATCATGAATATAATGTTAACATTAAGCTCTGCCTCTCAGTTAATAAAGGAATATTTTTCTTAATCACTATATTCTTCTAGAGATAATGTAGGATACCATTCACAAAATAAGTGATCTTAGATATATAATTATAAATGTAGATTAGCATTCCTAATAAAATGGTCCAGAAAGAATATTGTGGCTGAGTTACATGAGCATCATTTTCAAGTACCAAGGCCCCAACATCAGTTTTCTGGTATTGGGTGGTGATCAAGGAGGATGTTATGTAGGTCTTTGGGGAGTTTTACAATGAGGCTAAAGGCTCATGGAACTCGTAAAGCTGCTACTTTATCTATTTGTCACTGCAATAATGCATAAGGCAGGTTCTGGAAGGTGATCAGCGAAAGTATGGTCCCCTTTCTCAGATCAATTTTGATTGTTATGGGGCTACACAACATGTACTCGTGCAAACTTATACCCCAGTGATTTACCCCAAAAAAAAAAATGCAAACTTATCCAGCGACCCTTATGCACCATAAGTCATTGTTCTAAATGCCTGAGGTAGTGTACGAGAGTCCGGAAAGGACTCAACTAGACTTCCTCTTAGAGTGGTGAACAGGAAATCCAGGAAATTCAATTCAAAAGGTGGAAAGAGGGAAATGAATCTACAGTCACTAGTTTAACATGTAGAGTTTATGCTAACTAGCCTGGTATCAGAGGTTGAGGTGTCGAGGTTAAGCGCTTTATATGCATCCTAAAAGATGTTCAAAAGATTTGCGTTTGAGTTTGCACGACATGTTGGTGTTGACTTCACTTCCGGGTGCTAAAGTCTTACCATGAACAACTCAGTTCTCGCCAAATTCCTTATTTTAATAGTAATATCTACAGGAATTATTAAATTTAAACCAAATATACTGGAATTGTTTTTGAACTCCTCGTTATTCTCTGACCCAAGTGCTCAAGCTAGACGCGCTCTCCAGTTTGAATCCAACAGTTGACATAAAGATTTACTTTGCGAAATTGGAAAAGCCTAGTGTTTTCTAAATTTGGAAAAAGTAGAGAGCTTGATTCGGTTTGCCTGTGAATGAATCAAGGGCCACGTTCAACTTTTCAGTCAACAGTCTTGACGATTGGTAGGTACCCGTGATGGGTGTTAGGTATGGGGGGGTAGAGTAGGAAAACAAAAAAAGTAGAACAGCTTTAGAGACCGACCTGTTGTATGCAGGGATGAAAACTTGGGCCATAGCATATTGAGGCTTTTCCATCTTCTTGTGGATAAAACTGCTTACTGAGGGGTGAGGAAGCATAGAAGGGTTCTCAGTTGAGAACATCGAGGTCACTATCAATCATGTCACTGATATTGCTCTTTCTAGAACTGGAATAAGTAATTCCCACTAAGAGATTGGTAATCAATCATTTAGATCATCTATATATCTCTTTGCAGTACTTCATAAGTAACTCCCTCCCTTCCTCTGTAATGTTAATCAACTGCAGATCAGCTAAAAGTTTAGGGTCAACAGAGGACCTTATCAGAGTGAGTGCAGAGGACTGTAGCAGACAGAGGAGGACTTCCGATCCTAGAGATGACAAGCTTTACGATGATATATTTCCCAAATTTACTAAGGGAAGCTAAAAAAATGATGTTAGCTTGGCCAAGGATGTAGTTGTGCGGATAAGACTAAGCATATGACATTTTCCTTGTACAGAGCAACTCGTATGATATCCCTAATCAGCAACAAAAAATGGAGGAAAAAAAAAAACAGGTTTATGAACTGACTTAGGTAAGGTGAAATAACATATATTGTAAGGAGAATGTGCTTTAAAACACAGGATACCAAGTACATGAAAACCAAAGGCCAAAATTACCCTCCCTACTGAAGCAGTCTTCTCATCTATTAAAAGTCCTAGTCTAAGGTACTAGGTTAAGCAAAGTGAAACTCCAAATGGAGTTGGAAGGCACATGTTATGGGACTAAGAGTCTAATTGCAAAGATGCAACTGGTCTTTCATAACATGCTAGATTGATGAGCTTAACTTGATTAAACATCATTGTGATTGTAAAACTTGCTCAAACAACTTTCTAGATGCATTTGGATTCCTCATCAGAAAAAGTGTATGTTCATACGCTTTTGTAAATGTATCATTTTAGAAAATGACACATCATGGACTTATTAATGTGCTGCATCCCATTCTACTGGCTCATGAACTTCAACCCACGGGGACTACACATTAGAGCTTGAATAAGTCCATGACACTGAAACAACATAAAGCACAATGATTTTCTTTTCAGAAATACGGAAACTACATCATTTGAAAAGTAGCAATTAAGACTTTACCTCCAACGCTTTTTCTTCATCATAAATAAATTTTGGTAGCTTCCGCATCAGATCTTTTCTGTCAGCTCCAGCTAGCGCTTTGCTAATCTGCAAAGAATTTCACAAGATAATAGAGAACTTGGTTAATAATAATAAATTGCTAGAGAAGAAACTCTGCTGTTGTCCATTGACAACCAAAGTACTATCATGAAATAATTAACAAAACAAAGAAAAAGAACAATCTGCTAGATAACTCATTCTAGTATGGGGAACATTCTAATCATCACGGCATGCAATTGCATGCACCATATGGCCATTCTTCTCAGTATCACAACTGACATAACTTGGAAGCATCATATAACTATATCCAGCTATTAAGATGTAATTATCTGTGCGATGCTTTTACATCCAAATAAACTCTGGTCCGAACATTCTGAATTTTTTGGATACTAAGGATTTGAATTAGCGGATGTCATGGGAAACTGCTTTGAATTTTATTCAGTAGCTATCAGGTCAGTTGCTAGGCTTCCAGAGAAAACTGTGAGTGACAAACAGGAATGAAAGTGGAAAACAGGAATGAAAACGCATAGACCATACATTGATAACCCCAAACCACATTCAACATGACTTTTAAAGATCTATCCAAGAATCAATAAGAGACTGTAGGTATTGTTTGGATTGACGAGTATTTAGAAGTGCACAATTCTTCAGATTCACAAAACAAAGCCTAGATGTTGATGAAAAATTTAAGTATTTTGCTAAATCAACTTTATCATGAAATTTCACACCTGTTAGAACTGAGAAATTCAGATGTTCATACTCAAATCATTAGTAAGTAAACGAGCTATGTATGTTTTATTACATCTTGAAACTGTTGTAGGTTACTAGATTCGTACTGAGTGATGTGGTTCTTGACATACGTTCAAAACATGTTCCAAGTTACATATTTGGTCATGGCTAGTCACAAAAATCAGTTTACCATGGAAGAATCAACTTTAAACAATAAGTATGCACTATTGAGGTTTATTTTGGCTTCTAAAACAAATGGGTTTAGGTGATTTGGTTTCTAAAACACGAACCTCAAATAATGTTGTTAAGAGAAGCAAGCAAAGGTGAATGACACTTATCAAACAACAACAACAAATCACACACATACACATAAATACAAACACACATTTTGTTCTAGTGTGCATCCCTACCCACCTTCCTACAATACACCCTCAGTTAGGACCACATTATCCATATCAAAGACCCTATTGAACCAGCTAAAAGAACCTGCTCAGCAAACTCAATGAATTATGCAAACCAAACTAAATATATTGAACTATCAACTATGAAATGTCCAAGTTAGACCTTGCAAAGCAAGATTATTTATCGCGGCATGGAATCTGATAGTATTGCCAAATATGTGAGTTCCGAGTGAAGTGACGCAGCATCCGATAGCAATGCTACGAGTCATTGCAGTACAGCAACAATTAGCCTATCTAATACGGCCAACTAGAACTCAGCATTTGACCATACGCATGACTAATCTTGTCTAGAAATCAAGACCAATCCCAAATTGGGCAAAATAAGTAAATAACGCATTTCCTTGCCACATCATTATTGACTTGAACAATAATGTTACAGCTTCCTAAGACAACAATTGAGAGTCACATGGCAAACATTCGAGACAACGTGCAGCCATACTCAAAATTGAACTCACAAAAAAAAATAAAAAATAAATAAAGTGTTCAACATTTTGAATAAATAATTAAATATGTTCAATAGCATTAATGTTTTATAAATTCCAAGTTCCAACAATAACTGAAACAGCTCAGCACATTCTGGCATTTTAGATCCTACCAAACACCCATGTTTTAAGACACACACACACAACAAATAAAAAATGAAGAATGAATGCTCAAAGGATAATAGATACTCAAAAAACTTAACACGCCAATTTCAAATATTGTTGTTAAGAGAAGCAAGCAAAGGTGAATGACACTTATCAAACAACGACAACAAATCACACACTAAATATGAACATACATTTTGTTCTAGTGTGCATCAGCCATCCCTACCCACCGGCCTACAATGCACACAGAGTTTGGACCACATTATCCATATCAAAGATCCTATTGAACCAGCTAAAAGAACCTGCTGAGCAAGCTCAATGAATTATGCAAACCAAACCAAACCAAACATATTGAACTATCAACTATGAAATGTCCAAGCGAGACCTTGCAAAGAAAGATTATTTACGACGGCATGGAATCTGATAGTATTGCCAAAAATGCAAGTCCCAAGTGAAATGAGCATAGCATCCCACAGCAAAGCTACCGAGTCATTGCAGTACAACAATTAGTCGATCTAATAAGGCCAACTAGAACTCAGCATTTGACCAAACGCATGACTAATCTTGTCTAGAAATCAAGACCAATCCCAAATTAGGCAAAATAAGTAAATAACACATTTCATTGCTACTTCATTATTGGCTAGAACGAGCTAATCAATAGAGTTAATAATGTTACAGCTTCATAAGACAAAACAATCGAGAGTCAGAAAACAGTCGAGACAAAGTGCAATTGTACTCAAAATGGAAGTCAAAAAAAGAAAAAAAGTATCCAACATTTTGAATAAATATTTCTTTTTCAATAGCATTAATGTTTTATAAATTCCAAGTTCCAACAATAACTGAAACAGCTCAGCACATTCTGGCATTTTAGATTCTGCCAAACACCCATGTTTTAAGACACACACAGAGAAAAAATGAAGAATGAATGCTCAAAGAATAATAGATACTCAAAAAACTCTTTCTGGATTTCTAATGACATTACATTGGACGAAGTATGAAACATCATAAACAAGACGTGTCCTCTTCCTTGATCCATACTGGGAACTCACTCAGCTTTATTGAACCCAGTATTCTGCTATCAAATTGAAGCCCAATGCTAGAAACTATGGCTTGAAAAATAAAAGACATCTAGAGATTGTTATATAGACTGTGTTTACAAGTTTCTGCAGCTGGAATAGCAGTTTTCTCTTTCTCTTTAATGTTCCCCAGCCGGCACTGCACCTCATCTCCCCCCCCCCACCCATAATAATAATAATACTAATAATAATAATAATAATAATAGTAATAAGAACAACAACAACAATAATAATAAAAAGAAGAAGAAGAAGAACAACAACAACAACAACAATAATAATAATAATAAGAAGAAGAATAAGAATAATAATAATAATAATAACAATAATAATAATAATAATAATAATAATAATAATTTGGCTTCCAATAATACTGGCTGAGAATATGAAAGCTTGGTTGAGTTGGCATCTAGCTGATCATGTTCCTCATTCCACTACTTATAATCACTCTATTAATCAACTTTTTTATGTTTCTTGGTTTCTGTTTGGAAGATATAGAGAGTTCATATCCGAGCTATTTGACCACTAGATGTCAAATCTGAATTGTAGCCAGTTAGCTTGCCATCCCTGGCAAGGTAGTAGACAATTTCTGATCCTGGGCACAGGAGCAATTGCACGCCTAACACTAGTAAATGGGATTTCTCTAGCCTCTAATAAACACAGGTCCTACAAATACCACTCCTTTCAGATAGACATGCCCCAAATACTAAGCAGTCCCTCAAAAAAGAATATCCCTGGCATGTACTCACTATGGTAGTTTTGGCATTTGAGGACTTGAGCTCAGAAACTTGAAAGAGTAATCCTAAAGACCCAAAAGAATCAGCAATCGAGTGATGCTGCTATACACCCTGGTCATCCCATTCCAATTTTTGTATAAATAGACTGTTATTGGATATTGATTGGACACCTTTGTTGGGAGATATGAACAAGAGTATTTCTTGTCCATGGTAAGTTCCTAATGCTATTACTCCATTGCGTTCGAGACCTGTTTGATTCATTAATGCAAGCTGCTTCATCAGATGGATCAAGGAAGGAAGAATATTCGAATGCTTGTCATATCTCTTGAAATGTTGCTATACCTTTCAACGTATCTAAGTTGTCTTCCCTATCACTCTTCATAAGTATTTCAACATGGAAAATTTGCCAAAAAAATCCTGTTTTATTTTTGAAGTTTAAAAATACTATCATTTATTCCATATTTTTACACTCAAGTATCAAGTCCCACTTTTTGAGAGTGTATAGTGCACTTCTATTTTGTTCTTTTTTCTATGCATTGGAATAATCTCAAATTTGGAGATTACATACTTTTTACCATCATACACTTGTAAAAAATATAAGAAAAATAGTTCAATTGACATAAATACCCCTAAATTATCTAGAGGTAATTTGGCAATTTTATTTCTTTCAAATTATGTTCTCTTTTTCTATTTTTTACAGGGGCATAATGGTGAGAAGTATGGATAGCCCAAATTTGAGCTTAATCCAATGTATTAAAAAATTAAAATCAAAATACTTCATACACTCTCAAAAAATAGGACTTACATAAAATATGAAATATTTGCTGATTGCATATAAACACCAAACTCAATTGCAGTGAAGGAAACAGTCTTCTATTGCTAAGGATGTCTCCTTCATTTCCAATTCTGTCGAAACTTGGAGGAGCCGTACTAGTGAACTTGTTGTTTGAACTATGCAAAAATAAATATATAGTTCTTTCCTTTTCTTCCATTAAACTTCCAATAGACAAATAACCTCTTTCATCTTCTTGTGTCATCTATAGTAGGTGTGAAGGATACTTTAGTAACTCATTATATAATCAGAAAAGGAAGGGATGTGGAACACTGTCACGCCTATTGGAGACCAATCTGAACAAAACCATTCAAGAGATAATTTTGTTTCACTGATAATCATGCCGAGATGGATACAAGTTTCCAAACTTATGTCCTCTTAAAATACAGGAAAAAAAAAAGGAATATTACCTGAGGGGCATATACACAACCAAGGGTTCCCACGATAATTCCTCCCAATACAAAGCCTCCAACAAAAATACTTGCACTACTTGGTCTTCCAGCATCCCCACTGCAATTTCACAGAGAGCAGAAGTATAGTATGATATAATGGGCAAAGCTCGTTGGACAAAGCTCATTTTGAGAAAGGACAAAGCTCATTACTTTTCAATGAAACTACAACTAGCGAACAGAGAAAACGACAATGCATTTGCAGTCAAAACATGTTTTGACCTCCATTGTGACACCATTGCTCTTATTGGCATACCTAAATTATCATAACTAAATAACCTAGAAGTCCGATTTCCAGCAAATCGGATTCGCAATAAAGATAGAATCAGGGCCAAATCAACATCATTCTGAACCACCACACAAAGAAATAGTAGTTTCAATCTGTAGGCAGCTTTTAAAAAATCCGGTGTTAAGAAACAAAACAGAGCTCAGTTAAATTAACTGTCGAAACATTTCCCACTAGCTGGCCTAACCAATTTCAGGACTGCGTAGCTTTGAATATTATGCATCATATTTTACAGAACTTAATGAAAGTCACGTTCAGGACTCATAACACATGCAGCCTACATACCAGGACAACAAACATAGTACTTCTAATATAGTGTTCTGAATTAACTTTATAGCTAGTTAAGTAAATAAACCACATAGAGAAACAAGCTGCTGGAATGTTTTTTTTTTTTTTAATCATGTTAAATTCAGAACATGATAAAACCAATAAGCAACTGAGGTATTATGCTTACACCTTATAGTTGTATATGAAAAGCTTTTCCAAAATGGGATAAAATTTGAAATTAATACATTAGGAAGAACTTAGGTGTAGCAACAATAGGTGATAAGATGAGAGCAAGTAGCCTTAGGTGGGCTAGCCATGTGCAGCGCCGACCCAGTACGACACCTGTTAGGAGGTGTAAGTTAGTTCAAGTTGAAGGCTCAAAAAGGCAAGGGGTAAGCCTAAAAAGACATGGTTGGAAGTAGTGAGAAGATATTGGGACTTATGGCATAAGTCCCCACTGAGGGTATGGACCTTGATAGGGCAGAATGGCAGACCAAGATTCGTGTAGCTCACCCCAAATAGTTTGGTAAAAGGCCCTGAGGATGACAATGATAATGATGATGATAATGAATAAAATATTTTAAAAAATGATGATGATGAATGAAAATATTTTCCAAATAAAAACTTTTATTTGCACAAAAGAAGCACAGAAAAGATACTTGGCCTTGGAAACAAACAAATGCAGTTTACACAATTTAGCAGATACAAATATCATTTCCAATATTCTACGTCGTACTTAAAAGGAGATGAATTTCAGACTAAATATGAAGGCAAACCACCAAAGCTGCTATCCTGGAGAGGGAGTAAGCAAAGGTTTCTCCCTGAAGATTTGCTCTTCTCCTTTCACATCTATCCTTATGGATAAGCAGGTTTAAGGAAAAAGACAAGTTCTCATGTCTTGCTTGTCGTAGAAGAAACTTGATGAAAAGAATCAATGTAGCTGCTGTCTAATATAAATATATAATTGGAAAGTCATGGAAGTATGTGCTAAGAAATCACAAAGCAGATTCCTCTTTGCAGACACAAGGAATTTGATTTATCTGACTAGATTTCCATGCAACAACTATCTGGTAAGTAGTAGAGTATTAGAATATAACTATCAGACCAGTAAATTGCGTGCTTGATTCTGTCTATTAACTTATAACATTGTACAATTGTGAACATTGAGATAAGTTCTCTGCACCGCTCTCTGTGATTTAATACGTGCCTGGTGAATTTCTCTGAACAAGAACCATACAATTGTGAACATTGAGGTAAATTCTCTGCTTTACTCTCTCTTATTCAAGATGTGCCTGGTGAATTCATTTGAACAAGAACCTTACTTCGCAGTTTCACTCAGAAAATCATTGGGCATAACAAGAGAATATGTGTCTTAGGAAATTCTGATATAAGCAATGCACATGGCTGACTTTGCCATCTTTAAGTTCAAAAGGAAATACCAAATATTGCCTTTATATATACAGGCACACACACACACACACACACACACACACACACATACACACACACATACCACAGGATAAATTGAATTTCAACTAAGCGAGCACCAAATGAATCTAGGTGCTGGTGTCTAACAAGCCAAGCTTACATCTGCCTTGCACATTAGAAAGAGCAATTTGCATAACTAAATCAACAAAAACATAGCATTGATTGGCAAGTCAAAATACCTGTATCCACATCGCACAGTAAATGGACTGTCACAGCTCAGGCTTTTTTCTTTCCTTTGCTGGGTGGAACTAAAAGACAGGTTCCTCGGAGTAATATTCACAACGCCATGATCCAAGGGCTTCAAAGAAAGACCTTCCAGAAATATATCATGACATACAAATTACAAAATAATTTAATGACTAAAGTCCGGCAAAATCAAACACTATTATGTAATAAGAATGAAAATCAGCATATCCAAAAAAATGTAGAAGGAAACATGGTCCTTCTCAATAATATATTTATGTGATTATCCAACACATATCACTCCTCCATCAATGTAAGATAGCATAAAATTCACTGCAAAGATGAGAAACAATAAAAATCCTAAGTAAGCCTCAAAATCCAGGATTCACACATTTGCACACAAATACTTTACTATGAATAGCTTCCATTTACAATAGCGGGAAACAGGGAACAGAGAATCTAGCACAAAACTACTAAACATCCCTAAAACGTATACTTTGAAGACTAAACCTTTGATTCTTGGACAGTCTAAATTTTGATTATCCAACATGAAGTAGTGGTTCAATTAAAAGAATAGAATGCACTGAGAAAGGTCATAAGAAAGATAGAACTTGGGAAACAAGGGGAGGTGCATAGCAAATAAGCTCATTTTTACCACAAAATGTAAGTGTTGTGCTTAGGTTCTTAGGATTAAATGTGAATGCCTCTTTGAGACACATTGGTGTACACAAATGCCCTCCAAATGCATAAAAAATAATAAAAACCTATTGCATGTGCACTACTATGTAAAGAATACGATGAATGGTACAATTCCTGGAACTGCCACTCAAGTTGGTGTAATGACATTGTTGATAATTTGAAAAAGATGTTTGTAAGCACTCCCATATAAGTGAGGGGTTCAAACCCCTTTGGGAGCAACTTTCTCACTAAAAAAGTTGCAGCCCTCCTCAATGTGCTTGGCCTGGTCAATTTAAAAAATTCAAGTGATACAAGTTGCAGCTTGGTAATTATGGTGCATGCCCATGCCATGACCCTAATGCCATTGAACAGGGCCCCTCATCTTGCCGATTCATCCAGTACACACAGCATTGCACTTCCGCTTTGGATCCGTCCATGAGTAACAGCATTATCTCTCGAAGCTTACAGCTATGAATGTGAACATGACAGACGTGTAATAAACAGGTTATTGTCCGACACTCCAACCGAGTTGGCTTATGAATAACCTTTCATGGGGAATTTCCTATTTTATGACACTAGGCCCCCTTTGCTTGACCTATCTACTAACAATACCATTAAAAGTAATGCAGGATGCCTATCTCGTCTTCTATGTCAAAGACTACTACAATTTGAGTTTACCAATGCTATGGCATATAGATTTTTATGCATTTATAAATTGTTATTGATATACACAGTAAGGGTGGTGAGATTTTGGACCCATTTTTTAACAAGCACAGAAACAACAATGCATTCTCTACAGAAAATAGTCATCATCGCATCCATCAATCACATCCTCCCAATCATTCCTTACCCAATCATCTTGTTTGTGTTTTTCTTTATTGGAAAATTGTTATCAATTAGTAAGCAAGTATAAATCAGTACCTGGAAACGAGCCAAGCTTGCAGGGTATATCATGTATTATAAGAAGTTTGCCTTTAACTACGCAAGATGATGTGTTTATTGAGAAATAAGGATTGATATTCAACGAAACAAATTACAATACTACAGAGAAGTTCTCCATCAAGTCTATGCTACAAAAAGAACAAAAGGGTAGTGACAGGAACCGGTTTGGTCGAAACAGAGTAATAAAAATCATAATAACAATAATCAAATCAAATCAAGGCACATAAAAACTTAATTTCCATAAAGGCAAATATTCGAACAAATCAATCACATAAATTGATCAAGTCAAGCCACAGAAGATCTTATGAGTAGGAACAATCAAAATCTAATAAGCGCCTATAAAAAACCATGAGAAATTTAACTAGAAAAAACACAAAAGAGATGAATTTCTTACCTCTATTGGAGGAAGAATGAAGCAACATGGCAGAATTAGCAACTGCGGCCATTTTCGCAGGGTTTCAAAAACAATTGTAGGGTTTTTTTCTCTCTTCTGAGAGGCAGAGGCAGGAGGGATTGAGGAGCGATAGATGAGAACAAAATCCTTCCCTAATAAACAGTTCTCAGATGGCTGGTCGTCGATATAAACGAAGTGAACAACAAATACTCGAGAGTAGGCACAAATAAAACGGAAAGGAAATGGTTAAATACCGGGGGGACAAATTGGTTGATATCTCGTGTTTCCTAATAATGGTTAAATACCGGGGGGACAAATGGGTTGATATCTCTTGTTTCCTAATACTCCCTACTCCCTACTCCCTACTCCCTACTCCCTACTCCCTACAATAACACAGCAAGAAAAGAGTTCACGGGCAAAGAGCTTACACGAGGCACAAATACGCACCTCAAATATATTGAAAGAGGTCGTTGAGACGCTGGAAAACCCTCCAATTCAGCGTTATGGCATCTAGCTATATCAAAAGAAAAAATCGTCATTAGGGCGGGCAATAGGCCACTTGCCCAATCTGGGCCCGGTCAGCCTAAACTAGGGGCCACAAAATGTGGCCCGAGGGACAATCCAGGAGGACAGAACTAGGCCGGACCTACGCCATGAATGACAGGGTTCCATCTTGGTTATCCCTTTATTTTTGTATTTGCCCCAACTCGTTAGGGTTTGGTTTGGGCCAGGTCCTCTTTGGCCTGGTATGAGCCGGGCTGGCTCAGGTTGGCCCTGCAAGGACTAAGGCAGTGTTGGCCCGACCTAGGTCTAAGACGGCCGATCACATGCCTAAGCCAGGCATGGCACTAATCTTGCCATACATTACCTCAACTTTAGTCCCTTTTCAACATTTCCAAGTATGTCTAGATAATCGTGCCATACATTACCTCAACTTTAGTCCCTTTTCAAGATTTTCAAGTGTGTCTAGATTTGTTCGATATGCTATTTTAAGACAAAAAAAGTTAAGTCCGTTCAATTTGTACCAATTTTGAAACTTCAAACTTCATAACTAGGGTTTGAAACATATTTCCAGGGGCATTGCAAGTGTTTTGCACCAAAACTGTATCTTCTGACAAGATTTAAAGGTGGCCCTATGACTATTTCAGGTGGGCACCCATATAAAATGCACCCAAAAAGAAAAAAGTTAACTAGAAAAAATTATACGTATTTTAACAATAAACCATGTAGAAGGGACCATACGATATATAAAAATGTGCCCATACGATATTCGAAAGGACCCAAGTTTTGGTGTGGCCTTAGCATATCACAAGTGGTTGGGGCCTGATGTGGGTTGCATTTACATGTATTTTAAGCAAATTGACCAATTAAAGTAGATGGTATAGATGCCAAGGCCAATACAATACAATACATGCGCAAGCGATGAAGCACCAAATACTTTATTAAATAAAAAAATTATTCGAAACATTTTAGATAATTTGATCATCAAAACGCTCAAGTACCAATGTAGGATTGGTTCATATATTCATAATAACTCCATGACAATGAGGTTATGACCGTTGCACCAATGGGCTATATCGAGATAGGTGACTATTGCAATTATTGATATATAGGCAGTAAGCACGATGTGTATGTATTTATAGCCTATGGTGCTTACCCAGGGGACACCAACTGTCCATCACAATTAACCAAAAGTTGACTGCGGTGGAGTTTAAAGAAAAATAGTCGATCATCTCCACCGTCTACCGTTGAGAACGGATGGTGGATAATTAAGTACCTTGTGCCACACCGCACAACATAACGAACACATCTTCTTTTTTTCTAAAAACCAATGTCTCTTAAAATTTAATTTAGAGGATAATGGATTTTGACCTTTTTTAGATCATCCAATCCGAAGGTTCATCCGAAGTCCACGTTCTTTTGTTTTTTGTTTTTTGTTTTTGTTTTTGTTTTTTTTGTTTTTTGTTTTTTTTGGACAAATATTCAAAACTTTATTGATAGAAAAAGTTACAAAAGAATGACTACATCATTAGAAATAAAAAAAAAAAAGTAAAGAAACACCAATCTACTGATCTCAATTATAGAAGATAAAAACTAAAGTTTAACTAAAATATAGAAAAAAAAAATTACTACTTTATTTGGGTCATTATGGGAGTCACGTGTCATACACACCTCTCTAATTCTCCCCATAGGAATCATGTGCCATACACACCTCTCTAATTCCTATTAAGAATATAATAAAACTATCAAAATTGCTGCCCTCCCGTTACCAACATTGGAAATAACGTGCACTGAAGTCACGTTATGTACTTGGGGCCCATCCATTGCTTGAACACCCCACTTACTAAATGGTGATATGGTATTGTATACAATGAGACTATTTATTTTTAATTCAGGAGGATCGTAATTACTTATAAGTTATAACCATCTAATGTGAAATATGATAGCTTAGATGTGTCATAAAGTTCGAAAAAATTTCTTTTAAACTTTAAGCTTGGTCAATGAAATAAATGTAGCCAGCCATTTTCACATCCAATAATCGAGATTAATTGTGACTACCTTGTACCAAAAATAAATGGTCTCATTATATACTTTCCCAACACTTAATGTGTAGTAATATCATCTGAAGTAATATTAGCCAAAAAGATTTTTTGTTTCCATGAGAGTATTTGTCTATTTACTTCCTTGGCTAAAACCTAATGTAGGGGTGATTTTAGAATGTATGGGGATGTAACCTCTTCAACCAAAGATAACCTCAAAAAAAAAATTTGAATTGAACTCTCTATATGCTAAAAAAAAATCAGTCTCTAGATTGAACAAAGCCCGTCCAATTTTTTGAAGGTGAGATCCAAGTGTCAAAAATGCAAAACCCATGTTTTTTCTTTAATGATTTCTTTTGAAAATAAATGCAACTAACGGTTCAAATGTTTTCTTAATATAATTATAATTTATAGTTTTCAAAAAAAAAATTCATATTCATGATCTCCATGTTAAAAATTATATATTCTCTAAAAGTTAAGATCAAATTATATTTAACAAATATATTTATTACAAGCCCACATTTGTACAACATGCGGCCTGGCCTCATAGAAACTTTCTAATAATGAGAAATATTATGCTATTTTGGATGTTGTCACTTCGCATGACTTCTAAACTGTTGAAAAAAAAAAAGAAAAAAGAGGAAGCAAGAGCTTATGTGCTACCCCGTGAAAGGTGCCCTTTCAAATTTGGGAAAGATATGGCTTCTAAAACCACATCTTCTACAAATCAAACATGCCCTCAATGTCGTATTCTATTGAAAATCAACCATGCTGTTACACTCTGTTTGATTGTTAGTCAAAGGAAATTCGTTTATGTAAGAGGAGCATCACTCAAGTTACAGTACTTGTTTTTGCAAAAAGACTTCCTTTTTTATGCACTATAATATATTTTTTCGTTTAATTGCAAATAAAATATTACAAGCCATGGTGCCCATCATAAGTAAGGAAATTGCTGCTCCAAGGTCCCCCGACAGAGCACTGATTAATGAGCTTACGGGCTATTTACTGCAGAGTTTGTCGAACACGACCTCAGTGGCAATGTTAGCACTATGAACGCGATTTTATGAGACACTTTCTATTGACTGGAGGTTCTTGAGTTGCCTGATTACTTCTGCTTAACTTTCTTTGTAGCCGACCCAATCGCAATGCCATTGAATTGGCTACAAAGTCGGTTAAGGACCATGCTCAGATTGATCATCAGAGTTACATAAGTCGAATTCTAGTAGAAAAAATAGTTCCTTAATGTTATGAATCTACAAATACATTAAGCAAAGGGAAAACCACCTTATCCCAAGGCATCCCAAATTGATTCCTCTATTGGAACTAGATGCAGCTTTTCAAATTCATTTTATTTGTGAATCCAAAATGTATCCCTGCAATTAAAAAGGCATATCCATGAAATTCCGCAATTCTTATATTTTTCATAAAATGACCAAAGTACATCATCTTTGATTTCTGCCCAGTTATTGACCATAATTGGACTAATTTACAATCAAAGTCCTCCCAATACCTTGTTACGATTACTAGTTGGTTGCTCAATAACTCTAAAAGCCTAGGTGAAAGTGTCAATAGTTATAGAAAGCAGATATTGAGTTTTCTATCTTGTATATTACAAGATATTAAGTTTTCTATATTGAGTTTTTTATTTTGTGGGATTACAATTGTAATGTTATTTGTTTTCTAAGGGGCCGTTTAAATCACTAAATTCATTATCGGCGGTGAAAGGTGAAAAATCTATTACGAGCTTGACAAATAATCTTTATAAATTTTTTGCATGTCTCTCTATCCTATCCCTGCTTAAAAAAATATTTCCCTTTTTTAAGTATATGTTGTACCTTATAATTATTTAAGGTAAGTAGAAAGTGAAAGTCGGGGATATGAAAAAAAGAATCTAAATTGATTTGAACAGGTGTACAATGACAATTGTCTACTTCAATTATAATAAAAAATTTCTACATCCCGCTATCCCAATTTGGGTTGTAGCTTTCATCTGACTCTCATATAAAAATAATTTTTTTTAATAATTGGCAAGTGAAAATAAATAGAAATCTAAATTGATTTGAACAGTTGTAGAACTTGATAAGGGACAATTTCCTACTTCAATCATAATATAAAAAATTTCTATATTGGTAATCGATGAGAAATTACATAACACAATCATAATAAAAAATTTCACACAGCATAATCCTCATATATATAGAGAGACATTTGAAAGACTTCTATAATAAATAAATAAAAATAAGGCTTATCACAATAAAATCATGTTATTCCAATCATATTATTCCAATGACTTATCATGTTGAAACCAAAGTCTAATGTTAGCCAAACATATCCATATTTTTATATTTGGATGGTAATGTATGTCTCATATTTCTTCTAGACATAACTAAACAATAGCAATGTTTTTTCCAAGTTGCATGTAAATACTAGACAATCTATTTGCAGGTAATGAATTATATAGTAATGTATTACGCCCGTAATATATTTGACAGACAATATATTTCCAGGCATCCAAACGGCCCCTGAAAGACGAGTTGTAATTCTATAAATCTCTGGTAAACCAGAGTATTCCCTATTAATGAGTTATTGGTTTATCCTCCGTAGATGTAAGGACCCTTGTCGAACCACGTATATGCCTTATTGATCTTTATCTTCTTCTCTCGTCATATTTCTCTTATTGTAAATTCTACATAGTATCAAAGCATGTCGATCTATTGCCGACCATAGATTGTTCCATTACCGGATTTCCCAATTTCAACAACGTTCATTATTTGCTGGTTGGTTGAGCACGCGCTAGAGAGAGA